AAATCCATGTCCCTAAATGTTTGATGAATTACAAAAATGTAAGGAAAAATGAAAGCAAATTTCTCCACATGTCTTGATATTCATAATTATGTAATGCATAAGAAAATGAAATTGATCTAAATTAAGGCATGACATCAAGGAATGAAAAGAAATTTAACAAAACATTAAATGGTTGATTCACGAAATTAGATCTCAATTAAGTTTATGATCATTAAATATTACTCACGTTTTTTTGTTGTTGAAAAATTGACGTATTTTGAGCATTGGAATTTAAAACATGTTTTGATCTTGATTGATTATTAAGATTTTTTAATTTTATTAATTATTAAGACTAATTTAATTATAACTGGTTCCTGATTGAATTGTTTTCATGGAAACTTTTCTTTTCTTAAGAGTGTTATATTGTAATTATCTATCTTTTAAATTTTATTTTTTATTGATTGGTAATTTATCTATAAGAGGCATGTATTAATAAGAAAAATCAGATAAATATGTTATGAAATGAAATTTGAATGGATATTCCTTTTTCATATTCTTAGTTAAAGTTCGGGGGAGGGGGGAATGATTCATAATAATTTTCATTCTTCAATGATTTTTCTTTTTTTCTATATGGCATTATCTAGATAGCATACAAAGATCAAAATTTAAAGTAAATTTTATTAGAATATGGTTGTTAGGAGAGTTAAGAACTTGTTTTCCAACTTTAAAGGCAAGCAGTGGCTGAGCCACTTGGCTCTTAGGTGGTGCTTTGGTACCGACTAATTTTCAAAATTGCTACATATTTTTTTTTTAAATTTATGGTATAACCTTAATATTAGTTAGGTTTTTAAAAATAATACAATATTGATACTAACTAGATTTTATTAATTAAATATTTTGACATTGGCTGAATTTTCTCCTTAGCTCGACCACTGAAGGCAAGGTACCCCAATCCTACAAAGCACGGATACGTTGTTTGTTTAAAAAAATACGTATCGGACACGTGTCCGACACGGACACGCTCCGACACGCGGTCAATATTTTGGGACACGTTGACTATCTCGACACGCAATTTTGACCGTGTCGGACACGGTCAAAGGGCAAAGAGACAAAGCACCTTATGGGGACGAGGATGCAAGGGACGAAGGAGTGAGATGGCACGGTCCTTATTGTTCCCGCTGTTCTTCGCCGCCGCCGCAGGGTTGAGCTACGACGATTTGGAAGCACAGGTCCTCTAGGTGACCTGGGCAAAGCCGCCACGCTGTCTCCTTCACTCGCTTCGCTCACAGGTACTGCAAGAGCTACAAGACGGTAGAGGATATGAAGCACCGATTCAGATCTTCTCCAATAATCTCACTCTAGCGTTTATGGAACTTAACAAAACATTTAGCTACAAAAAGTTAAAACGATAAATAAATATTAAAGGCTATGTGGGCTGAGGGCTCCAACTTTAATACTTTAGTATTTTGTTAACGTGACGGTGGTTGTGCTGTAAAATAAATGATTTGTACCAAAAATAAAATAGTTGCAGAATAGAATAATATGCACGTTTTACTAAATAAGTGAAAATATAAAGAATGGATCAGAAACAAAAAAGAATAAAAATTATAAGAATATTTGATTGGATATATGATATTTTATTATTTTCTTTATATTTATGTTATGAATTTTTTTTAATTAGTTGTATACTTATTATGGACTGTTATATGTATTACTTATAAATCATATTATATATATCAAAAATATTAATTAATATCAAAACGTGTCTTAACGTGTCGAAATATGACATTTTTTTAGAATTAACGTGTCGGCGTGTCGTATCGTGTCGTGTCCCGTGTCGCGTGTTAGTATCCGTGCATCATAGCCTCAATCTAATGTGTAAAGGGATAGAGGTTTAAGTATAATTTTATCTCTTTATAGTTTGCTTTATGAATAAACTTTTTTAGTTTATATTGGTAAAAGATATATAATTATACGAAATATGTTATTTGAATGAACTGAAAAAGAAAAAGAAGAAAATATTATATTTACGCTAAAATTTTTTATAGAACAAAGGGTTGGTAGTACTAGTACCTCCCACTAGGGCTGTGCATGGGTCAGGTCGGGTCAGGTTTTGGTCCGACTCGACCCAACTTGGTTTTTATAGGTGAGGTATTTTGACCTGACCCGCTTTAATTTGATCCAAGTCAGGTCTGACTTGGTTTGGATTTTGTTGAACTAGTTCAGAACTGGATCAGATCTGACCTGACTTGGTTTTTGAAGTGAGTCTGACTTGGTTTTTGAAGTTGGTCAAATCTGACCTGACCCGTTTTTGACTTGGTTTCTTCACAAAATTTCATCGAAATTTCTACGTTGCAAATGACAAAAATTTCGTCACAAAATTATTTTTTCGTCGGAATACTTTTTGTCGAAAAGCGACGAAATTTTTTCTCTAATGAAAATTTTACAAAAATAAATTTTCTATCGAAATTTAGTTTCCGTCAAAAGTTTTGACGAAAATGATTTCTTCCATCAAATGTTTTAAACGAAAAAAGAATTTTGTCAAAAATTTTGATGGAATCTTTTTCGTTCAAAATTTCAATGGGAATGTGTTCTGACGAAAATTTCGACGGAAGTTGTTTCGAGGGAAATGTTTCATTTGAAACTTTCGACGCAATTTAGATTCTCTAAAGAATTTTGACAGAATATTTTTTTCCGTCAAAATTTTTTATCGAGATATTTTTTGTTAAAAATTTTTACGAATTTTTTTTACAGAATTGTGTTCCGTTGAAAATTTTGATGGAACTATTTTTTTCAAAAAACTTGACGAAAATATTTAATTGAAAATTTTCGATGGAAATGTGTTTCGCTAAAAATTTTGATGAATTTGTTTTTGTAAAAAATTTTAACGAAATTTTTTCCGTCGAAAACTTGGACCGAAATTTGAAATTTGTAAAGAATTTTGATGAATTTTTTTTTATGGAAATGTGTTTCGTCGAAATTTTCAAGGGAAATTGTGTTGAGGGAAATGTTTCATTCGAAACTTTCGACGAAATTTAGATTCTCTAAAGAATTTTAACAAAATATTTTCTGTCAAAATTTTTTATCGAAATATTTTTTGTCAAAATTTTTTATCGAAATATTTTTTCTCAAAAATTTTTACGAATTTTTTTCACAGAAATGTGTTTCGTTGAAAATTTTGATGGAAATATTTTTATCAAAAAACTTGACGAAAATATTTAGTCGAAAATTTTCGATAGAAATGTGTTTCGCTAAAATTTTCGACGAATTTTTTTTTGTCAAAAAGTTTAACGAAAATATTTTCGTCAAAAACTTTCGCCGAAATTTGAAATCTGTAAAGAATTTTGATGAAATTTTTTTCGGTAAAAATTTTTCGATGGAAATGTGTTTCGTCGAAATTTTTGATGAATATATTTTTTTGTGAAATATTTCGACGAAATTTTGATTCCGTAAAAAAATCTGACAAAAAAAATATTCCATCAAAGTTTTTTTTTTTGGTACATTGCTAGGAGGTATCCCCATTCAACCTTCTCTGGGTACCATGCCCTCGGGGTACGGTCCGTTTGGGCTAGCCCCTCATTGTAAGAGTGGGTGCTCTAAGCTTCGCAACCGGAGAAAGGACGAGACTAATCCCCCAACCGAAGATTTTTGGCTTATCCTCTGGCCCCCAAAGATTTTTCAAGAAACTGCTTGAGGCAGGGTTTGATCCCTGCACCAAGCAATCCCTTCAAGCGGATATTTTTCAATTACGTCAAGCAAGCAATATTTTGGGTTCCATCAAAGTTTTTTTACAAAAATATTTTTAGTCACAAGTATCGATAAAAATATTTTTGTCAAAAATTTTTGCTAAAATTTTTTGTGGAAATATTTTCCGTAAAAAATTTTGACGTAATTGTTTTACGTTAAAACTTTTCTTTTATTGTAATTGTGATTTTTTTTCACATAATGAGTATGGGTCAAGTTTTGGGTCAATGAGTTAATTATTAAATGAGTCAGGTCTAAAACCTGACCCAAATAAAGTGGGTCAGTATTAAATCCAGTTCAAAAATAAAATGGGTATTTATAGGTCAGATCAAGAGCGGAGCAAGTGAATCAGTTATTTTGTGCAGCCCTAGCTCCCACCCATTACACCATTCCCTCGGTCGTTGGTCATAACTAGGGGTGTAAATGGGCCAGGCTGGCCCAGCGCAGCCCAAGCCCAAGCCCGGCCTTTCAGAAAAGTAGAGTAAGCTTAGGTTTATAAAAAAGATTTTTTAATAAATAGGCCACATGCCAATTTTGTCAAGCCCGGCCTACTGCTTTGTAGGCTGGCCTATTTAATTTATTAAAATAAAATAATAAAATAATATTTATTTTATGTGGCAAAGACACAAAGTACCAAATACCAATATCTCTTACTTTTTGTGCTATTTTATTTTATGAAAAGAAAAATTGTCTAATGTCTCCAAATTTTACATGTTGTTGCAGCTTAATACCATGGAGCAATGGGTACCTTGCTGGATTATGATGTTACTGATGAAGATCTTTCAATAATACTCTTCTTTCCCTTGTCTTGATGGTGATTTAAAGATTTTTAGATGAATGACATTTTTTTGTAGACTTTATTTCAGCATCCAGTAATTGTATTTTTCTTATTTTTCCCATTTCTTTGACTCTATTCCTCTATGATATACAGTCTAGAGCTGAGGTATTATGTTGACTCTTTCTTGTTTGTCATTTTTTTCTTATGAGAAGTACTAGTGCATGCATGAATGAAACTTTCTTTACTCTATACAATTATTATTTTTGCTTAGTATATATACTGGGGGCCTACAAGGCCTGTAGACTATGTCAGGCTTTCTTATTTTTTAAAAATGGGTCGGGCTTGGCCTACAAATAAAATCTTTAATAGACCAGTAGGCTAGATAGACTGAATTTTTTTTAATATAGGCTTGAGCCAGGATGACCAAAGCCCAGCCTAGCCTATTTACACTCCTAACATTACATCGCGAAGGCCACAAGACAAGCATTGTCATATTCAATCCTTTCTCTTTCCCCCCTTTATTTTCCACTCACCCTTACAAAAAAACCCATCCCTATCTGATAATGTCCGACCCGGAAACCACACCCGAACAAGACGCCACTCCTCCTCCACCGTCACCGATGGAGGCTCCGCCGCATCCCGAACCTGTCACCGCCACCAAGTCCGGCGCTTCCTCCTTCAGCATATGGCCTCCCACACAGCAAACCCGCGATGCCGTCATCAATCACATTATCGAGACCCTAACAACTCCCTCAGTCCTCTCCAAGCGCTATGGCACAGTGTCCCCTGACGAAGCCTCCGCTGCCGCCCGCCAGATCGAGGACGAGGCCTTCGCCGCCGCCGGTGTCTCCGCCTCCGCAGGCGACGACGGCATTGAGATCCTCCAGGTGTACTCCACGGAGATCAGCAAGCGGATGCTTGACACCGTCAAGGCCAGAGCTCCGGCAAGTTCCGCCGCCGATAATGGCGGTGCCTCTGACGTCCCCGACGAAGAGGGCGTCGCTGCTGCTGTTTCTGACTCTTGATTGGTCATCCAGTAACAGTATGTTAGGGTTCCCTCGTTGAGGGGGCTAATCTACATTTATCTATATTTTGAAAGATTGTAGAATTGGAGAGATCAGAGGATGTAGAGTTACTCTGGCTTATCCAAATTGTGTGAAAAAATTGTCTCTTTTCTAACTTCATGGCAGCTTTTAATGTGCGTGTCTTTGTGTTTTTGTGTTCTAGATTCTTGTTATATCCAATTATGTCATAGTAGTAATCCATTAATTCCATTCTATGGTGTTTTCCTGTTGTGCCTTATAAATAGAGTTTTCCTGATTTTGTGCGCCTACAAGTTGTTGATTGAAATTATTTGTTGATGATCTAACTGAGATACCTCACTGATGGTTGGTAATAATAGTTACTTAGTGATGTTGGTTTCTCCTCTTCTGTGCCAATAAAGTTTTCTTTTATTTATTTGGTGTTGTCTTCATTACTGTAGGTACTGTTAGTCTTTCAGAATTTAGATATCCCATAAGTCATGAGAGAATGCAGATGAATCCTTATTCTGTACCCTATGAATACATAGGGTACATAATAAGGATTCATGAGGCTTGTTTAGATGACATTAAGGTATATGTAGACTGTAGTTATATTTATGTTCTCTTTTTTCAGGTGATGTTTTGGACCGTACCCTTAATTTTTGATTCCATGGGCAGATTGACTTGCTGATCAATTGTTAGTGGATGTTATATGCCTAGAAATGTTATGATTTACTTGCTACTTTTTGGTTTCAAATATCGAGAAAATCTTTAGCTGAACGAAATCTGAGTCAACTGTCTACCATGATTCCAATCAATGGGGAGCAACAATGGTGTTTCTTTTGTTCTGCGAGCACTTTTGAGTTGTGTTAATCATATATTGTGGAATTGCAACTATATCAACTAAGGGTTACCACTACCAGAACATCTTCTGTATCTTTGCATATCCTTCAAGAATGCAACATCTTCTGTTACCTAATTTCTCCCTTGGATTCTATGCTCTTTAAAACATCACATTTTAGTATGCCTCTTTGTTTCTATAAGTTGGAGCTGCAACTTTCGACTTATTTAGCAATCTTGGATTGACATATGCATACTATTATATTTGTGATTTAAGCAGTTGAAAGGTTCTCTATTTTTATACATTCATTAACGAATTATATGCGTGTCTAAACAAATTGTCTTCCTATACCTTGTGATGTTCCAAATATATACTAATGCTTGCAATTGCATTTTGAGCCTATAATTTGAGTAGAAGTACAAATTTGACTATGAGGTGGTGTTTGGTTGAGGTGGATTTTTTTTTTCTAGGGAAATGTAAATATTAGGGATCTGCAGGGAAAGTGAATTAGATAGGAAAGTTTTAAAAAAGTTGTTTGGTTGGGCAAAATTTTACCAGGAAAATTGAATGAAATTCCTGAATATGTGTTTGGTTGAAGATAAAATATTGATGGAAAAATAACCCTTTTGTACCACAAACCAAAATGTAGCCGGTTTTCTCATAGAAATACCAGTGTTTTTATTGGTTTTTACATGTAATTGTCAATTGATAGGGAAGTGAATTAGATGGGTAAAATTGATGAATCGGTGAACCAAATGTGGGGAATGCAGAATCCTTTTTGCACTTAGCTAGGAAAGTGGTGTATCCCAAGGTTCTTTACATGGTATCAGAACTTGAGTGACTATAAGGTCACAAGTTCAATCCCCACAGCCCCCACTTTAAAGTGGAATTAAAATTAAGGCACAAAAAGGTAAATAAAAAATTGGGCCTGTGCAATATCCACGCTTCTAGCCCAATGAACTCTCGTGTGAGGAGACGTGTTGAGATATATAGTCCCACATTGGTTGTATGTGCAACTAATGTAGAGTTTATAAGACCTTAGGCACTTCCACTCTTTGAGCTAGCTTTTGAGGTGGTATATACCAAGGTTCTTTACATGGTATCAGAGTTTGAGTGAGTTCGATCCTCACCGCCTTCCACTTTCAAGTGGAATTAAAATAAAAAGCACAAAAAAAATAAACCAAAAATTGGGCCTGTGCAATTCCACGCTTCTAGCCTAAAGGGCTCTTGCGTGAGGGGGCGTGTTGAGATATATAGTCCCACATTGATTGTGTGGGCAACTAATGTGGCCTTGGGCACTCCCACCCTTTAAGCTAGCTTTCGAGGTAGTGTATCCCAAGGTTCTTTACACTTAGCTAGTAAAGTGGAGAAAAGTCTCGAAACAAACACCCCGTGATGGGTCATCATGATCTGAGCTTTTTTAGTTATAGAATAGTAAGTCTATATTGTAGAGAAAAAACAGGGATCTTGAAATAGTAGAATGTATCGTATCTTTGGACGGTGGGTACTGGGTACAGGTTTTATTGTCTAAAGCATAGACACTCTTGTTTGGTGTGTTAAATAACACGATTAAGTGCAATGGGATTTTAGGACTTTTATGGACCAAATGATAAAAGGTTCAGCATTATGGGACACTCTTGTGGAGGGCTACCTGCAACAGCTTCAACTTTCGATCTTTGACGAAAGAGTTTTAAAAAGTTCCTTAATCCTGGATTTAACTTTTTGTGAAGTGATGGTATGTTGAGAAAGTCGGGTTCAATCAGTTGGGTCAATCTGTGAACCCTTGGGGGGTTTTGACCAAATCCCTGGTGCAAGTGACGAGTTGGTTTGTGTTTGTGTTTGTGGATTGGGCTGGGCTTGAAAACCTTCTATCCAAAGAGATGGGTGAGTTGGAACTTTCTCAAACTGTACAATCCAACTTTTGTTTGCATTAAAATAAGTTTAAGTATAGATACTGTGGTCAAGTATAGATACTGTGGTCAGACAAAACAAAATAAATAAAAAAACATTTTATACATCATTATGATGAGAAATTGACGGATCACGTAGAAGACAAGTTATTTGAAAAGAAATTCATCATGAAGTTAATGATTACAATAACTCATGTTTTTTTGTGATAAAATTAACAACAATTAACTTATTTAATTTATAATTTATGGATTTTGGGACTTTGGCTATTTTAGTTCATTTGACATTAATGTATATTTGAGGGGAACTCATTATGTGAAGATTTTGTGTTTATCTTTTTCTTGATAGATATTTATAAGTTATGATTGGACATTGCCTATTTAATACTTAGAAGGAAAGGGAGACAAAATTTTCACATGATTAACATGTGAAATGTACGCATTATCCATGAGGATCAATTCCCAAATTTTAGGTTGAGTCTGTTTTCATGTGTTATCTCTTGTATAGGTTTTGGGGAAAATAATTTTATTTTTGTTCTACCACATTAACATAAAAGTGAGTAGATTTCATTTTAAAAAGAAGATAAAGATCTAATCATTTTTGCGTGGGTGTAGCAGAGAAATTTTGTCTATAGTAAAAGCAGAAACATGAACTCATCAAAAATAGAAGAGTAAATACCTTTTTTGGTTCTTAACAAAAAACACGGTCTCCACTTTAGTCCCTGACAAAAAAAATTAGTCAGTTGATCCTTAATAAATTCAAAGTGGACCCATTTAGTTGAAATCGTGGTCCCTCACAATTTCAAAAAAAAATCCATATTAGTCCCTCAAAAGGACTAAAATGGATCCACTTTGAATTTGTTAGGGACCAACTGACTAATTTTTTTTTGTAAGAGACTAAAGTAGGGACCGTGTTTTTTGTTAGGGACCCAAAATGGTATTTACTCAAAACAGAAATATTAAATCCATAGGTTTTCTGTAATTCAATAGAGACAAAGGTCTAATAAGATCATGCATTTTCACTTAAAATAAAATGGGGAAGGATATTGTGACAACCAAGTTGTGTTACTACCAAGTGACTACCAATCAATCTCACTGTTAGATCGATTATGTTGATCCAACGGTTATATTTATTTCCATCTTTGTATGGTCATGATTCCTCATATTTAAAGTGAAAGCATTAAATATGGAAAATCATAACCATACAAAGGTGAAAATAAATATAAAGTATTAAATTTGGGGAATCATGACCATATAAAGATGTAAATAAATATAACCGTTGGATCAACATAATCGATCTAACAGTAAGATTGATTGGTAGTGACTTGGTAGTAACACAATTTGGTTGTCACACTATCCTTCCCCAAATAAAATTTATCTAAAAATTTAAAAAATAATAATAATGTAAAATTTTATTCAATGATACTTAATTCAGTAATATTTGATTGGATGACAGTGTAAATAGGTTTTACTTTAATAGTAGCTTAAAATTAATTCCTTTTTAATATTTCTACCTTAGATTTTGCAATCAGCAACAGTGAAAATCAATTCATTCAATACAGAGTTTAGCCTTTCGATACAAGATAGCTGTTTAATTGTTATAATCCTTTTTTTTTTTTGATAGACAATTGTTATAATCCTTTTCTATGACTTGTATATTTAATAGTTATTCATTTTCTGTCTAATTGCGGATAAATTTTACAAACTCTCATAGATGTCGAGATTTCTGTAATAGGTGGGAGGGGTCGGAAAGCATTGCTGGCTAAAAAGGTGAAAATTTCAAATTCCTTGTCTTCCATTTCATCGGTAAACTCTTCTCAAATCTCCCTTGGGTATCTATATTCAGTGAACCAGTGGCAACTTTGTCTGTTTGCATTTCTATTCAATTATTAAATATAATGATCAGTGATACTTTTTTTTGTGTTGTTAAAAAAATGTGGTAAATATTTAAGAACTTAAAAATAAAATTGTTAATGTTAGATGCAATTAAATTCATATTTTTAGACAAAGTGCTGAAAGTTTTCAAAATTAAATTCTTAGCTCCGACGAAAATACTCGGCTAATGCCAATTTTTATATATTTTTTCTCCTAATATTTTCTTTCAAAGTAAAAAAAAAAAAAAAAAAGGAGAATAGAAACGGACTAGTGAAATTTGATAAAAGTACCGAGACGCAATTTTCTGACTTTCAGTTTTACTTTTTTATTTAAAAAATAAATTAATGAAGGAGGACATAAAATGTCCAACAAAGTCTGATTACACAAATTTTGAGGTGCATCCTTAATTCAGGTCCAATCGGGATTTAACAAGGTAAGATAGGCTAGTTGAACTACTATGTTACCTATCTAAAAGTAGTAGTCTTCTGAAAGAGCTAGTCTTCAGAAGGCAGTCAATAATAAAAAGATTAACTTAAAGGTCACTTATAAAAAATATATAATTAACTATTCACTTAATTGAATTAATTATTACTTGTTATCAGAGTATCAGACCCCTTATGAGTTAAGAATAATATTAGGATCCTACAGAGTATAGATTCTTTGTATTTTACTGCAAAAAAAAAAAAAAAAAAAAAAAAGCCGCTAGACGGGGTCAGCATTTTAAAGAATAATCCGGAACATCATCCTCCATCTCTCTTTTTTTTTTTTTTTTTTAAGTAAACACCCTTTTTGGTCCCTAGCAATATCTGCGAAATTATTTTTAGTCCCTGACAATAAAAAAGGACCAAATTGGTCCTTAAAATTATGAAAAAAGGGCCACGTTAGTCCTTATGTCAACTCCTCCGTCACTAACGTGGTCTTTTTTACATACTGTTAGGGACCAATTTGATCCTTTTTTATTGTCAGGGACTAAAAAGTATTTCGTAGATATTGACATGGACCAAAAGAGTTGTTTATTTTTTTTTTTTTTTTTTGGAAACTAGAGGCTTGGGGTTGGAAACTAGAGGCTTGGGGACTAAAATTGCTGAGTTAATAATATGCCCTATATATGCTAACCTACCAACTGAGCTACAAGCTAAAATATTTGAACCCACTCCTGAAGGGGCACGAAAGGTTGTCCTTGCTACTAATATTGCAGAAACATCATTGACAATTGATGGGATCAAGTATGTCGTTGATCCAGGATTCTGTAAGATGAAAAGTTATAATCCAAGAACAGGAATTGAGTCCTTGTTAGTAACTCCTATCTCAAAAGCTTCAGCAATGCAGAGAGCTGGTCGTTCTGGAAGAACAGGTCCTGGAAAGTGCTTCAGATTGTATACTGCACACAATTTTTACAATGATTTGGATGATAATACTTTACCAGAAATACAGCGGACTAATCTTGCAAATGTAGTTTTGACTTTAAAAAGTCTCGGTATTCATGACTATGACTTGCTGAACTTTGATTTTATGGATCCTCCGCCTACTCAGGCCTTATTGAAAGCCCTGGAGCTTCTATCTGCATTAAGTGCATTAAATACGCGTCGTGAGTTAACTATGGTAGGTAGACGGATGGCAGAGTTCCCACTGGATCCTATGTTGTCAAAAATGATAGTGGCTTCTGAAAAGTACAACTGTTCCGAGGAGATCATTTCTATTGCTGCTATGCTTTCTGTTGGCAACTCAATATTTTACCGTCCGAAGGACAAACAAGTACATGCAGACAATGCAAGGATGAATTTTCACACTGGAAATGTTGGAGATCATATTGCATTGCTAAATGTCTACAATTCATGGAAGGAAACCAATTATTCAACACAATGGTGTTATGAAAATTATATACAGGTAAGGAGTATGAAACGGGCTAGGGATATCCGTGATCAACTTGCAGGTCTTTTGGAGAGGGTTGGGATTAAGCTAAGTTCAAATTCTAATGATTTAGATGCCATCAAGAAATCCATAACATCTGGATTTTTCCCACACACTGCACGATTGCAAAAGAATGGACTATATCGGACTGTTAAACTTGCACAGACTGTCCACATACATCCTAGTTCTGGGTTGGCACAGGTGGTTCCTAGATGGGTTGTATACCATGAACTAGTACTCACAACCAAGGAATATATGAGACAGGTCACGGAATTAAAGCCAGAGTGGTTGGTGGAGATAGCCCCCCACTATTACCAGCTTAAAGATGTTGAAGACTCGTCCTCCAAGAAAATGCCTCGCGGAGTAGGAAAGCCTAGTAGGATAAGCAGCAGCATATCTTCGCAGATGCTTTGAGAGGAGGAAGTACATTCGTGGGAAGGTGGTTGATAGGAATCAAACAGTAGACAAACACGTTCTCTGAATAATGCTCGTATTAAAGTTTAATTCCAGTAAAATCAACAAAGTTCAACAAGAACCCAATTCTAATTACACACTATAGTGCTGCTATAGCTCAGAACTTGCAAAATCAAATAAAGGAAATAATTGACAGAATGTAAATGATTTCAGGAAACTTTCGAGACGTCCTGATATCTCCCTTTTGCATGCGCAAACCAGAATGACCTCCACGGTGCTTTCTCTCACCCACCCACATGCTTATGTAACAAACTTCTCCAATGCACTAACAAACTTCTCCAATGCACTAACAAACTTGCTGAGTCACAAACGTTCAGGGTCTTTGGGCTTCTTGCTCCTATCATGGTTTCTGACATAGACTTTACCAAATTGGGTCTTGTGGAGCTGGGCCCTATCAATACTCCCCCTTAAAGAAAGCATCTTGTCCTCAAGGTGGAAATCAGGAAATTGCACTTGCATAGCAGTAAAATTTTCCCAAGAGTTTTCAAAAGATGGAAGGTCATGCCACTGAATGAGGACCTGCAGTATGCCTTTGTGGTCCCTGCGCCATTGTAGCACCTGTTCTGGCTCAACCACGAGTTCCCATCCTTCAGACAATGCAGGAGGAAGAGGCTGGACATTAATAACAGGACTCACGGCCTTCTTGAGCAGGGACACGTGAAAAACTGGGTGGATTTTGCTAGAAGACGGGAGAGTCAACTTATAAGCAGTGTCACTATTCCTTGCCAGCACTTCAAATGGACCATAATAACGGGGAATTAATTTCTCATTGATTTTAGATGCCAAAGATTTCAACCTATATGGCTGTAGACGCAAATAAACAGAATTGCCTACCTCAAATTGCACGTCTCTCCTCTTTTTATCAGCCTGAGTCTTCATACGTTCCTAAGCCTTGTGTAAATTCTCTTTTAATTTCGCTAGGATAAGTTCCCTTTCTGCCAACAATTGAGATACAGCATCCACAGTAGGGAAACTGTTTCCAACCCGAAACAGACTAGGAGGATCCACTCCATAAAGTGCTTTAAACGGGGTCATTCCCGTGGAACTCTTATAGGCGGTGTTGTACCAATACTCGGCCCAATGCAACCACTTAGGCCAGATACGAGGCTTGGGACTACAAAAACATCACAAATATGTTTCCAGACTCCTATTCACTACCTCCGATTGGCCATTGGATTGAGGGTGGTAAGCAGTTGTGAACTGAAGTTTTGTTCCAGCACTTTTAAATAACTCTGACCAGAAATGGCTTTGAAATACCCGGTCCCTATTAGAAACAATGGTGGAGGGGAACCCATGCAGCCAGACTACCTCCCTCACAAACAATTCAGCCACTTCCTTGGCAGAATATGGATGAGCCAAAGGAATGAAGTGTGCAAACTTAGTGAGCCGGTCCACCACAACAAAAATAGTATCAACACCATGAGCCTTCGGCAACCCACCAATGAAGTCCATGGACACATCTGTCCAAATCTGGGACGGTATTGGTAAAGGTTGAAGCAACCCAGCAGGGGACAAGTTTTGAATCTTATTTTGTTGACAAATGGCACAATCCAAGACATACTGTTGCACGGTCTTACGCATACCCTCCCAAAAAACCACTCCAACCATTCGCTTAAAGGTTCTGGAAAAACCAGAATGGCCACCAATACAAGAATCATGGAACTCAGACAGAATAGAGGAGATGAAGCGAGAAGATTTGGATAATACTAACCGATCCTTGAAGAAAAGGCGTCCCCCGTGTAGCTGAAAACCCGGATGAGAGGCTGGATCCTCCAATAAATTCTGAATTATTCCACGAAGCCGATTGTCAGCCTGCACTTCCTTATCAATCTCTTCCAAATGAGGAAGTTGCACCTTGGAGAGAAGAAGAAACTCTTCTTTTCTAGACAAAGCGTCTGCAACAACCTTTCCCTTACCCGGCTGATAAAGGATCTCAAAATCATACCCCAACAATTTGGAAACCCATTTTTGTTGGTCCTCACCAAGAACCCGTTGCTCCAACAAAAACTTGAGGCTCTTTTAATCGGTTTTAACTATAAAATGTCGCCCCAACAAGTAGGGCCTCCATTTCTGGACTGCAAACACCACGGCCATTAATTCCTTTTCATAGACCGATTTCCCCATGGCCCGCTGTGAGAATCCTCTACTAATATAAGCTAAAGGCCTGTCCTCCTGCATTAAGACAACACCTATGCCTTTGCCATAAGCATCAGTAACCACCACGAAAGTCTTGGAGAAATTCGGTAAGGCCAAAATAGGAACATAAGGCATTAATTTTTTTAACTCAGCAAACGCAACATGTGCCCCCTCTCCCCATTTGAAGGCATCCTTCTTTAACAAGTCAGTTAATGGTCGGGCTATCTTCCCATAATCTTTGACAAACTTCCGATAATATCCCGTTAACCCCAAATGACCTCTCAGCCCTTTAACATTCCTTGGAACTGGCCAATCTTCCATGGCCTTGATCTTAACCGGATCAGCCTTGACTCCTTCTTCAGTAACAATGTGCCCCAAATACTCCACCTGCATCTGTCCAAACACGCATTTCTTCCTATTTGCAAACAGTTTATGGGTACGCAGACAAAAATAGTCCTCAAGTGGCCCACATGCTCAGCCGCCCCCTTGCTATAGACCAATATATCGTCAAAAAAACCAGGGCAAATTTTCTCAGATGAGGTTTCAGCACATCATTCATAAGGGCTTGGAATGTAGAAGGGGCGTTAGTAAGGCCAAATGGCATTACTAAATATTCGTAATGCCCCTCATGAGTTCGGAATGCTGTTTTAGGGATATCCCCCACATTCATACGAATCTGATTAAACCTGGACTTGAGGTCCAGCTTGCTAAACACCTTTGACCCTCCTACTTCATCCAATAGTTCATCTACCACTGGTAGGGGGAACTTATCAGGGACAGTGATCTTGTTCAAAGCCCTATAATCAACACATACCCTCCAACTCCCATCTTTTTTTTCACCAATATAACAGGGCTTGAATAGGGACTCACACTAGGCCTAATCATACCAGCACTTAATAATTCTGCCACTAACTTCTCAATTTTAGATTTTTGATAAAAAGGATATCGGTAAGGCCTACTGTTAGGTACCTGTGTGCCTGGCTTCAAAACAATAGCATGATCCTGACTTCTCTTTGGAGGAAACCCTTTGGCTTCAGCAAAAATGTCACCAAATTCAACTAGCAAATCATCCAGCTCTTTCCACTCTTCCTGAAAGTTCTGAGAAGCTGCTGAACCTTCCCACTGCACAAAATAACCTTGACCCTCCTGCTCCAGAGCCTTGGCCATCGATTTAAGAGAAGAAATGGTTTTAGAGAGTGTAGGGTCTCCTTTAATAACAGCTTCATGACCCTCGGAGACATACTTGATAGTCAACTCTCTAAAATTTGCCTTTATTTCCCCCAATTCCCTGAGCCAATCCAGCCCCAACACCACATCTGCCCCTCCCAAGTCAAATAGGAACAGGTCTTGGACGATAGTGCTTCCCTGGATGGCAATTGCAACCCCTCGACAAACCCCTTGACAGGATATCTTGTGCCCGTTCCCAATTTCAACCGAGTATGTGGGGGTCGATTCCACCGTAAGACCTAAATGATCAACCAACCCTTGCTTAACAAAATTGCTCGAGGCCCTACAATCGATGAGCACCTCAACACTCCGGCCATCGATCACCCCCCAAACCTTCATGGATTGATTAGACGAAATCCCCATCAGGCTCTGCAACGTTAGCTGGAGAGCCATGTCTTCTTCGTTCTTCAGTTGCTCAGCAGTAACCGACAGGTTCTCGTCCTCTGCTGCTGACGGATCTCCCAAATCTTCGTCAACGATGAGGAGATGTAGTTGTCGCGCTGTGCATTTGTGCTCGGGCCCCCACTTCTTATTACACTTGAAACACAAACCCAGCCGTCTCCGCTCCTGTGACTCCGCGTCGGAGAGTCGCCGAAATTTGCTCTTGGGAGCCTCCGTCACGCGACTTCCGGCTACGCTGCCTTGGGGAGATTCGGGTTGCATAGTTCGCCCTAAATTAGATTTAGGGATTTCAGAATTTCCCTTCTGATAGTTACTAGAAGCGGACACATTAAGTGGTGTGGACTTTGGGCCGAAATTCGTTTTAGTAGGCCCATTATAATTTTTTGGTCCAAAAAATCCAAATCCCTCCTCAGTCCATGATGCGTTTCTGATGTCGATTTTATGGGCCAATTTCATCATGGATGATAACCCAAGCCCAGGGTTCATGAGGACTTCTTCTCTGATGCTACCCCTCAGCCCACTCAGCCAAGCTCCTTTCAATACCTCTTCGTCAGCGTACCTCATCGTCCCAACTACGGCTTCGAACTCAGCGCGAAATTCAGCCACCGTGCCATTTTGTTTCAACGCGTATAAAGGTCCATAAGGATTGTCAAGCATCGATGGTTGGAACCTGCCTAAGATTTCACGCCTAAACCCATTCCAGGTGACGATGGGATTACTGAGCTCCCACCATTGATACCAGGAAAGAGCCTCTCCCTCCAAAACTAACATGACAACCCCAACCTTCTCACCATCCCCTACCTCATTCACTTGAAAATACCTTTCTACCTTGCTCAACCAGGCATAAGCGTTAAGCCCAGAGAAAGTAGGGATTTCCAGTTGTCTGCCCCATACATCACCGACCCCTGCCCCTCCCTGGTTACCATTCGAACCAGAAGCACCGCTCATCCTTCCTTCTCCGTAATTGCGTTCATCGCCAGAATCTTCAGATCTGAGCTGTTGAATTCCAGCTCCAAGCTCTCTCAGCTGTCTTATGATCTCCGCCTGGTTAGCATCGCTCGCGTCCATCCTCTTAATCAGTTCATCTTGTCCCAATTCTGTTCTTCTTAACCTTTCTTCCATTCCCTCCATGTTTCGAGTTCGTACCATAACCCTGTTCCCAGTCGGAGCTTTGATACCACTTTGATAGGAATCAAACAGTAGACAAACACGTTCTCTGAATAATGCTCGTATTAAAGTTTAATTCCAGTAAAATCAACAAAGTTTAGCAAGAAGCCAAATCTAATTACACACTATAGTGCTGCTATAGCTCAGAACTTGCAAAATCAAATAAAGGAAATAATTGACAGAATGTAAATGATTTCAGGAAACTTTCGAGACGTCATGATATCTCCCCTTTGCATGCGCAAACCAGAATGACCTCCACGGTGCCTTCTTTCATGCACCCACATGCTTATGTAACAAACTTCTCCAATGCACTAACAAACTTGCTGAGTCACAAACGTTGCTGAGCCACAAACGTTCAGGGTCTTTGGGCTTCTTGCTCCTATCATGGTTTCTGACATAGACTTTACCAAATTGGGCCTTGTGGAGTTGGGCCCTATCAGTGGTTTTGTTGGAGAGAAAAAGTGTCGCCCTTAGGCTTGGGAGAAGATGCACTGTAGATATTCTCTTTTGTTGATATTCTTTTTTTGCTGTACATCGAACTATAACATGTATTCTGTATATTTAAACGCTTAAATTCACCTTGACTGTAGTTACCCTTGCATCCTTGGTGAGTGGTGGCTTGATAGTTTTGGGGGAAATGATTTGTGTGATGTCATTCACTGACTGAAATTGTCTTTTAGTCTTATGTTCAATTTTAGTGACGAAGTGGCATCTGATTTAATTAAAAAATAATTTTTTTTTTTTTGCAAAGAACTAATTTAACCCAAAAAGTTAAATTAATGAATGAGGGCTTATTTAAGTGACATCATTACTATTGTATTTTATTTATGATGCTGCTAATCTACATTTATCTATATTTTGAAAGATTGTAGAATTGGAGAAATCAGAGGATGTAGAGTTACTCTGGCTTATCCAAGTTGTGTGTAATTTTATTTTATTTTATTTTTTCAACTTCATACCCTCTTTTTTTGTGTTCGTGTCTTTGTGTTCTAGATTCTTGTTGCATCTAATCATGTGATAATAATAATCCATCCATTCATTCCATACTACGGTGTTTGCTGTTGTGTCTTATAAATAGAGCTTTCCTGATTTTGTGTCTCCAAGTTGTTGATTGAAACTGTTTGTTGATTTAATTGAGATACCGCACTGATGGTGCTAGCAATAGTAGTTACTTAGTGATGTTGGTTTCTCCTCTTCTGTGCCAATAAAGTTTTCTTTTATTTATTTGGTGTTGTCTTCATTATTGTAGGTACTGTTAGTCTTTCAGAATATAGATATCCCATAAGTCATGAGAGAATGCAGATGAATCCTTATTATGTACCCTATGAAATACATAGGGTACATAATAAGGATTCATGAGGCTTGTTTAGATGACATTAAAGGGGTGTTTGGTTCAAGTTTTTGGAGAGGATTACCGGTAATCCTTCTTTGGTAAATGTAATTACCACGTTTGCTAGAAGGAATAAATTACGATTCCCGGATATCCAAGGATTACCGGTAATTTGATTTAAAAAGAAAAGTCACTATTCAGATTACCAAAAATAATATGGTAATTCGGAATACCAATCAGAATACCAAGTAAAGGGAAAACACAACAATAAATTTTGAGACAAAAATACCCAATACACATAAAAATCTAGACCCAATCTATCAATTACAAAAGTAAAAATAGTTTGGGGTTATTTTTGTAAAATAACCTCATATTCCAAGTCATATTTCGTTCTAAACCAAATATGGAATCAGTAATTTTTACCCAATATTCCCGGTAATATTTTGGCGAACCAAACACATCTTTCGTAAGATTCCAAGTAAACTCAATTTCTACTGAATTTCCATTAATCATGATTCCCGGTCACCAAAAAATTTCTCCTGTACCAAACACACCCTAAGGTATATGTAGTTATATTTATGTTTTTTTTTTTCCAGGTGATGTTGTGGACCGTACCCTTAATTTTTGATTCCATGGGCAGATTGACTTGCTGATCAATTGTTAGTGGATGTTATATGCCTAGAAATGTAATGATTTACTTACTACTTTTTGGTTTCAAATATCGAGAAAATCTTTAGCTGAACGAAATCTGAGTCAACTGTCTACCAAGATTCCAATTAATGGGGAGCAACAATGGTATTTCTTTTGTTCTGCAAGCACTTTTGAGTTGTGTTAATCATATATTGTGTAATTGAAACTATATCAACTAAGGGTTACCATAACATCTTCTGTATCTTTGCATAGCATTCAAGAATGCAACGTTTGATTCCCCCCCTCTTTCTTTGCCGTTACCTAAATGGCACATCACATTTTAGTATGCCTCTTTGTTTCTATTAGTTGGAGCTGCAACTTTCGACTTATTTAGCAATCTTGGATTGACATATGCATACTATTATATTTGTGATTTAAGCAGTTGAAAGGTTCTCTATTTTTATATAGTCATTAACGCATATATAAACAAATTGTCTTCCTATGCCTTGTGATGTTCCAGATATATACTAGTACTTGTAGACACGCTATACTATATGCTTGCAATTGCATTTTGAGCCTATAATTTGAGTAGAAGTACAAATATGACTGTGATGGGTCATCACTCACCATGAAGTTAATGATTACAATAATTCATGTTTGTTTGTGATAAAATTAACAACAATTAACTTATTTAGTTTATAATTTGTGGATTTTGGGACCTAGGCTATTTTAGTTCATTTGACATTAATGTATATTTGAGGGAACTCATTATGTGGAGATTTTGTGTTTATCTTTTTCTTGATAGATATTTATAAATTATGATTGGACACTGCGTATTTAATACTTATAAGAAAGGGGAAAACTAATATTATGTAACATAACAATTTTTACCTACTCACCCATTGATTTCCGCACCAGCATTTTTTATTTTTTATTTTTATTATATGTATGGGACCCATATGATTTTTGTTTGAGTAGAAAAAATGCTTTAGATTATGTTACATGATAATAGATTTATCCTATAAGAAAAGGGAGACAAAATTTCCCCGATTAACATGTGAAATGTATGCATTATCCATGAGGATCAATTCCCAAATTTTGATGCCATAACTAGTTTGAGTCCATTCTCATGTGTTACCCCTTTGAGAAAAAAATATTTCTACTTTTGTTCTACCACATTCATATAAAAGTGAGTAAGTTTCATTTTTAAAAGAAGAGAAAGAAAAATTTAGTGAGACTCATTTGTTTCTAGGTGAGTGTAGCAGAGAAATATTATCTGTAGAAAAAAGAGAAACATTAAACTTATAGATTTTATGTAATTCTATAGAGATAAAGGTCTAATAAGATCATGCATTTTCACTTAAATTTAAATTTTATCTAAAAATTAATAATAATAATAATAATAATGTAAAATTTTATTCAATGATACTTGATTCAGTAATATTTGATTGGATGATACTGTAAATAGGTTTTTCTTTAATAGTAGCTTAAAATTAAATCCTTTTTAATACTGTAAATAGGTTTTTCTTTAATAGTACCTTAGATTTCGCAATCAGCAACAGTGAAAATCAATTCAATCAATATAGAGTATAGCCTAGCTGTTATAATCTTTTCCCATGTCTTGTATATTTAATAGTTATTTATCTTTATGAAATGATGATAGTTTAATTAGCGTATCAGAGTTAAGCAAATGAAAGTCAATATCATCTCTAGGAGGAGTTCAAACCCTTAATCATGGATCTATCCCGATTAAAATTGCCCCCCATGACAGATATCAGGATTTATCCCTGAAAAAAAAAGTTATTCATCTTCACTCTAATTGCGGATAATTTTTACGAACTCAAATAGATGATGTAGAGTTTTTTGTCATCCTCGAATAGGTGGAAGGGATCAGAAAGCATTATTGTCTAAAAAGGTGAAAAAGTCAAATTCCTTCTCTTCCATTTCATCAGTAAACTCTTCTCAAATCTCGCTTGGGTATATATTCAGAGAACCAGCGGCAACTTTGTCTGTTCGCATTTCTATTCAATTATTAAATATAATGATCAATGATACTTTTTTCTGTGTTGTTAAAAAAATGTTGTAAATATGTAAGAACTTAAAAATAAAATTGTTAATGTTAGACTTAGATGCAATTAAATTCATATTTTTAGACGAAGTGCTGGAAGTTTTTCAAAATTAAATTCTTAGCTCCAACGAAAATACTCAGCTAATGCCAACTTTTATATATTTACTCAGCTAATGCCAAGTTGCCAACTTTTATATATTTTTTCTCCTAATACTTTCTTTCAAAGTAAAAATAAAAATAAAAACAGGAGAATAGAAACGGACTGGTGAAATTTGATAAGAGTACCGAGACGCAATTTTTGTTTAGATAAACCTTCAGGCATTGGCTAATTTAATCAAAATCATAATTAAACTGTTTTAGGGATTTAATAAACACAATTAAGTCATTAAATATTATTTTAACAGTAAATTAAAAATAAATCTTTTTTCTCTTATTGTTAATCAAAAGCTTATTTTCATGTCGGCATCTTGAGTCGGACCGAGAGTGACACACAGGTGAAAGTGGTTGAGCAAACCGTCAATGAAATTTTGCAAGCGAACTGAGTGTTGGGAAAGTTGTTCTTCCTTCTATGGACCACTATTGACATAGGCAAGCCAAATTTTTCGGATGGTGTAACTGTGTGGCTTCTAATCCTAAATGCTTGGACTTTGAAGATTCCCCGTTACCAATTTGTTCATGAATTTCACATGCTGCTACAGGCAGTCTTTGACCTTCAATGGTGAATTATTGTCCTTTGTTGATTACTATGATTATGATGTACGCGTTCATGTATTTCCTGGTTCGATTAATTTAGAAGAATTTGGCTCCGTATTTGACTTTATAAACAATTGTATCGGAAGCTATTTAACTTTTAAAAGAACTAGGAAAACTTTTGCTGTTCAATAAATATGATTGGCTCGAGCTGTGGTAAAGTTTTCATCATTGTAAACTTAAAAA